TATCTAGTCAGATTATCAGCCAGGCGTGAGGACAGAAAGACGGCATGGGCAGAAATGCAAGATTTCAAGTACCCTTTCTCAAGAAAGTGCTGGAGGAAGTGCTCCGTCAAAATGTGGAGTAAATACAGAAAGAGGAACACCTGAGATGTAAGAACCATGAGCTCCATTGCAGGAGTGCAGAGAATCACCAGGACAATAGTGAAGGGCTTTCACAGGATGAAAGCTACAGGCAGCAAATCCAGAATCTGGGTGAAATTGCTTCAGGAAGATGAAATTGAAGGAATATCTGATGACCATGAAAGCCTTGGGAGAAGATCTAGACCACAGGTCAATCTGGCCCACTGCCAGCTTTTTAAATAAAATTGTATTTCACCACAACTATACCCTTTTATTTATACATGGTCTATGGCTGCTTTTGCACCACAATCCAGAGTTGAATAGTTGCAACAGAGACCACCCAGCCTGCAAAGTATAAATATTACCTATCTGGCCCTTTAAGAAAAACCTTGCAGACTTGACTTAGAGAATTGGCCATGAGTTTGTGGTTGAATTAGTTCTGTGTGCATAAAAAACAATGCTTAATCTAGGGAAAACAAAAATTGGCAGGAAAGGAAAAGTAGCCATGATTTACTACAGGGCTTAGTTTTGAATATATTTGAAAAGAAACTCTTTCTCAAAGTCAGCAAACATGCTGTCCTCACTCATGCCGCTCCTTCCTGTTCTCTCCTCCAATGGATATTTATCACTAATCACCCCAGTCTGTTTGTTTCCTGTTGAGTCAGGACAGAGTTACAGCATATTCAGATCATGTTCCATCAACCACTCCCAATCAGTAAGAGTTGGCTTTGTTCATGAAACCAGAATCAATGATGTAATTAGCAAAAAGGCACCAATTTATGGGGATTCTATCTGGTTCACAGACTTTCCCAGCAAAAGAACATTATTTGGCCTAGCATTTGACTACTGTAATTTAGTGTGCTAAAGTAGCTGCCTTCTATAACTTCATCTGTTCTAAATACCATTCCTACTTAACCCACAAACATGGGAAGACAGTTATTGCTCAATAATTACTCGTACATATAGGGTATTCTCATAGTATGTTTTCAGCATCTAGCACTGGACCTAACATATCAACAGGCTAGTAAATGTTTGAATGAATGAATGAATAAATGAATTCAGTTATGTAATCAACAACAATTAAAAAAAATAAACCAGATAACTTGAGAAGTTGAAGAAAGCAACCCATGTAAAAGCAAAAGGGGACTCTAACTTTCTTCAGCTTTTTAGTCTCCACAGTTAAATTGTGGTTCTGAATGATTTTGACTTCCGAATTAACGTAGTTTTTGCCCTTTTTTTTCTAACTCTTACTAGGATCTTTCCAATCAAAGATGTTCCCCTGGAGACGGATGACCTTTCTGATTGGCTCTATCAACGTTTTATTGAAAAAGAACACCTCTTATCGCATTTTTATGAAACAGGTACACAATATCCTATCACATACCTTCCTACAGTTACAGATAATTCCAAAGATATACTTTAGGGGAGATAACCATTTTTTTGGTTCATCAGATACCCTGAAGGAATCAAAGTATTTCTATATTTAAAAATTTCAGCTTAGAACTTTCATAAAGACAAATTTATATTAAACTTATTCAGGCTCTTAACTTTATCAGCCAGTGTGCAAAGATTGAATGATGAGTAAAACATTGTACAAATGGATCTAATTTAAGAGAGTACACAGTCTGTCAACAACTGCAATCATACATATGTAATAATGTGGACTGATTTATGAAATAACAACCTTCATGTTTTTGCATTGTACTTGATTAAGTAATACCATCATCTAGCAGTCATTTGAGGTCATTCGTAACTGCCTTTTTATATGCGTATTCTTTTCTTTAAAGTCTAGGGGTAAAGTCTATTTTTTAGTTTTCATGGATACAACTTTGTACTTTTCTCCTTGGGAGAAAAAGCGTCTATCTGTCCTAAGGTCCCTTTTCTATACACTGATATTTTCTGTGTTCTATGAAAACTACACTGCAGTAAAAAAAAAGACATAGCACAGGGAGGAGGAAGAAAGGAAGTTAAGAAAGAAGGAAATTAACATTTGTAGAACTCCAGGCACTGCCAACGTGCTTTCACAAATAGCGATTTGTAGGCCTGCGTATTTTCTAGAGGTTACGCTACCATAGGGGAAAAAGGTGAAGAGAAAGTTGCCCCAGGTCTGAGGATGGCCAGGGAATTGTAGGTTAACAGAAGGTGCTGTTTTCTTCCCACAGAAGATGTTTTTTGGGACAGAATTCAAGTTCGTATTAAACCAGACTGCCAACGGCCTGATGTAGAGCAAAGGCTGATGCTGCAAATTCCCTTTAGTATTTTGTTTCTGTGCTTAGGATTGTTTCGCTTTGCCCTCAACAAGATTCCTTCCCTATCTTAACTTGCTGACTAGGGCTGTGGCATAGTGCATATTATTATAATAACATGACAGGAGTTGGGCACTGCGTGTGTCTTTAGAATTCCTAGTAAGACTCGTTGAGCATTGAGCGAGACGTGCCTCCGGGTGTGCAATCCTTGGTCTTACTCTTGAAATTTCCTTAAAGATAAGACAGGATGCATATGTAAGAAGGCAAGAGGTGATTAAGAAACTAACAAGATCTCCCTTTCAGCCTCAGTCTCCTGCTTTTGATATTTGGCCTAAACTGGAGCAGCAATAATGGAAGTCTCTTTTTAAGAAAGTATTTGCATAATAGACCTTGAAACTTAAAAATGTTCTCTCTGTAAGTTGCTTGTGAGAAGCAAATCCCCTCATGAGTCACTTAGGGTAGGGGGTTATCAGCAAGGACGAAGACTATGTGAAATGCTGAAGCATGTTATCAAGATGACCTTAGGTAATGTTGTCCTGAAGTGGGCTAGCTTTCCTTTCCAGAAATCTGTTTACTCTGTGTTTCCTTTTTATTATTAAGGAAATTTATTATTCCTTTGTATTATTAAGATATATTTCATAAACCCTATTGCCTTTTGAAAATATCAGAGATTTACAACCACTTTTTAGTGGCAAAGACATTTAACTTGTAAATAGAGGAATTAGTATAAGTTATGCTGTTTCACAAAGTATTTAATATCGATTTTGCACATCTTGTGTCCTGGCCACTGTGGGAATCTCTGAGGATACAGTGGGAAACAAGGCACCCAGAGTGCCTGCTCGCATGCAGTTTATATTCCAGCGGGAGACAGTCTGTAGAAAAAAACCAAGATCGAGCCGGGATTATTACAGGTTGTGGAAAGTGCTGAGAAGGGAATGCACGTGGACATGAGAGTGACTGACTGGGGCAGGGAGGCAGGCGCTATTTTTTCTGATGCTGGAAGCGTGCAGATGCCGCTGCCATTCACTGGGATGGAGAAGGAGCACCCCAGGCAGAGAGCACAGAGGTAAAGGCTCAGAGTCAGGAAAGGGCTCAGCACTATGTAAACTGTATTTCGAAGCTCTCTATACAAGAGCAATGGAAAGTCACAGAAGATGCTCTAAACAACACAAACTCTAGTCAAGTAATGTTCAACTTTTGCTCCAGGAGACCTGTCACCCCAATAAAACAAAGTAATATTTCTGTCTTGTCTTTTAGGGGCTTTTCCACCTCCCAAGGGCCACAAGGAAGCTGTTTCCAGGGAGATGACCCTCAGCACCATGTGGATCTTTCTCATACAGTGTTTTGCATTTTTGTCAGGCTATATGTGGTACAGCATCATTCAGTATTTCTACCATTGCCTGTTTTAGGAACTAACTTGGACTCGTCAAGTTCGCCATAGGAGATCAGACTTTCATGAGTGTGCATTATTTTACATGTGCAAATCAGAATATATATATATAAAAAAAGAAATTCCATGGATGGATTCATGTTTATCCCCCTTTGGGATATTTTAAAACTGCTCAAATGAGGATCAGTGATATAATGACCTGCTAATATGTTTTAAGGACTTTTCATGTTTTAAAAAGATACATCCTACCACACATTTAAGCAAACATCACACTTGGAAGAGGGGAAATCATAAAATCATCCTAGAAGACTGAGAGAAATTCTGTTGCCACCAGATATACTTGATGTTCTAGTTCAAGCTAAGAAAGCTGTATTTGTCCCCTTAGCTAGTCGCCCCTGGTAGGGCAGTGCTGTAGAGTGCCCTCACTTCCGCCAGCTCTAGCTGCGTTACTAGGAACCTCGAGGGGAGCTGCTCAGCAGGCACCTTCTGAAAAACTGTGTCCCTGTCGTTTGCAGTGGCACTCCAGTCCTCAGCAACTCAGTGTCACGCGTGCTCTGCGGGGGAAAGCAGTGTCCAGTGGACACATCCCGGTACTAGAATGCGCCCTTTAAAAAGGCTAGCTCAGTCTGACACTGTGTTTACAGGCGCGTGTGCTTTCCCTTGTATGAGGGCGTCACTTGACTTCTCCTTTTGTATAGAAGGCATATTGTAGATTGATATTGTCTTTTACAAAATGCACTTTTATCAGAGGCACCTATAGCAAGGATTAGTAGCATAGCCTGAGAACAAATGTGAGCATCCTCAGTGAGAGGCCGTCTAGTCTGCGTGTTTATCTGTTTGCAGATGCCCTGCAGCCCCTCTCGAACTGGGGCCACAGTGAGGGGACGCTTCTGTCTGGCTCCGAGGCTTTTTTTAATTTTTTAATTTTTTTTTTTTTTGGTGGCATATGAGCACCAATGCATTTGGGAATGGTTGAAATAAATTAATGCAAAACATTTAAATTATTACTATAAGGTGAAATAGGCTAGTTTATTAGAAAAATAAGAGCTACAGCCAGACACTGGCTTAAAATGGTGACCAGTTCTCACATGGCACCCCCAGAACCTGTCACATCAAGGAGCTGCCCATGTCAGAGGGGTGTGACCAGGAGCAAGACCTGCACACAAGGCTTCCCAGTCTCCTCCAGTTGCTTTTGAAGAGGACAAAGTCAAGTGTTTGTTTCTAGAAAACACTTTTTTTGTTTGTTTGTTTGTTTGTTTGTTTGTTTGTATTTGTCACTGTGTTCATGCGATTTACCTCACTGTAGAACCAAACTCTTCTCAAAAAGTGCCAGCACTGCGTCAGCCCATCATGGGCACGCCCAGTGCTGAGAGAGAATGGTCTGTGGTTTGGGACTGGAGTCAGTTTTCTGTGACATGAGCACTGTAGAGTCCCCTGTTGTCACTAATCATACAAATGACAATTTTGAGAAGTAGGCCGAAAAATAAAAGTAAAAGCTGGTGTTTTCTGTTTTTCAATAAACCAAAAAAACTGAGAAAATACGAATTTTCTCCCAGTTACGTGGGAAGGGAAAGCAACACCAAATAAAAGCCCACAGCAGCTTCATCTGTAGGTTAACTCAGTGCATGTGTGAGAGAAGGATGCGTTCACCGAAATACCTCACTGGTTATACTTCTGGTAAAACGCAGAAGACAGTGTTAATGTGTTTGGTTTGGTAATGGTTGTTATAAAATGCCTTTTTTTTTTTTTGAATTCTAAGTGTTTTATTATGTGTTTTACAGTGACAGTGAGTAGGTGAATCCAATCTCAGTTTAGAGGTATGGGTGACAATAGGAAGCCAAGTAGGACCTTAAAGATGGCTCCTGTTTGAGGCTCAGCAAATTCCACTAGATTACAAGGTGAATTGACATTGTTCATTTGAGAGATTGGTCAGCCGTCTGGGGGATAAGTTGTTCACTGTCAAGTATGGCATGTGCAATTCTAGCCGTTAGACTGTTTCCTCATTGCTAAAGCGAGCCACAGGTAGAGTAGCCAGTTCTGTCTGTCTGTCTCTCTCTCTCTCTCTCACACACACACATGCATACGCACACATACTTGCCTACATAGATGAGGTTTAAGGCCACTTTTTCCATCACTGTGCTCCAAAGGAACATGACATTGTTTCATGTACTGTACACATTAAGCAGACTATTCTGTAAGATGCTTTACTTTTCAAGCGCAGTCATTTCAACAGTCTCGAATGACAAATACCAATAGATGTGTGAGTTAATTTTTGAAAATAGGTCTGTGAGCTGTCAGTAGATGTGTGTTTGATCTGCCCTCTCCCTCTTTGATTCTTTATCAACTTGTTCTCTCTCTTCTGTCAGCAAACCCTGCTTGTTTGAGAGCATCGCTAGTGCTTTCCTAGTGGTAACGAGTTCTGCTTGCGCCAGGGCATGTGAAGAGAGAATCAGTGTTCTCGAGTGGCAATCAGGGAAGCAGCAGTATACCGCTGTGCAGAACCGAATACAAATCCTAATTTGTACTGTCTTTGCAAAGTGAGATGAAGAGTTTTAGCAAATATACATTTTGTCAAGGGGAAAGAAAATAACATTGTGTCAGTTTTATACCGGTAGCATGCATAGTTTCAGCACTTCTTGGTCTCAGCTGATCTGCCTAGATTCCCACAGCAGACAGAGTTGTGAGCTCCCTGCTGGGTCCTGGTCTCAGCGAGTCCCAGTGAGGAGCATCTGCTTGGCCTCAGGCAGGCACAGTGACTACAGAAGCGACCATGTCAGCAGTTCAGAAACTATTATTGGTGTTGAAATACACAGATATTGTGGAGAAACCTATAAACCAATGGAAGTTAAAGACAAATTACAGAATGGAAATGATGTTTTGCGTGGGCAAACAAACTAGTTGAGACTCTAAATAATAGATTCCAAAAAAAAATTAGCTTTGAATTTAGATCTGTTATGTTATGTGTCATATCTTAATATTACAACCAACCCTTACTTTTCCACAGTAAAGGAACTAGAGATTACTGGATAATTATTCCACTAATATGTCATAGTAAGCCAAAAATCTAATTGTATTTAGTAGTTTGAATTGTTCTTGTCAGACTTTTTTTCCTAGGGATAGTTTTTTTAAATGATTTGAGTTGTTTATTAGTTTCTCTTGCCTATATATTTATGACTGTGTTCATGAGTAGGGAAAAAGATTTGGAAAGACAGCTTCAGGAGACAGAATCATGAAAGCCTCAACAATTCATAGGCTACAAAAGGAATCCCTAAATAATCAAGAGTTGGCGGTGTTGTGATTGTTCTGAAATGTTCTTATGAAAATGAAATGTTAAATCACCAAATGTAAACCTCAGAGCATCATCCTAGTGTTACTATCGTTTGGACCGATGTTCAGAATGCCTCTTCATTCTGTGCTCATGTTACTTGTGGATTTGTCTTAGTAACGTTTTTTGACAATCACTTCCCTAAAGATGTGTCTGAACTAGCGGGACCTGGTTATAATCATAGAACATAGTCTTTAATCATGCATAGTCTTCTTGGATTCTTTTTATATTTAAGAAAATTTTATTTGTGCTGCTGCATAGGAAGAGGTAGTTATTTTCTTCATTACACAGGACTTCACTCCAGAGTTACCGTACGAGCGTGCCAGCTGTGGTCCACCAAGGATGGATAACAATGGTTAGTCTTATTTTTGGCCTTGTAGTGCTGTGAACCTTGCTTCTGGTAACACGACAGGCAAAGTCCGAAGCAGCACCAGGCAGCGGGTATACTGGTTCATCTTATGAAGGGGTAGAGACTAATAGGTTTGGGACCAAAACCACCTAACTTGGACACTTCTAGATCACGAAGGGGCTAGGTGTTCTCTGGAGCGGTCACTGGTTGGTGCTTTATTGTAATCATTTTGCATTGATCCCCAGCAATTAGGAACTGGATCCTGGAACTGAGCTGAGGGTGCTGAACTGTTGGGGGAGGGTGACTGTGGCCATACGGATGATAAAATATGGGTTTTTCTGCAAAATTTCCATGTGAGGATTTTTACATTTAATATTTTTTTAAAACAGTTTAAACAGAAAAAAAAAACCTTTAAGTGTAATCTCGTTGCAAAGTATGCACACATATTTTGAATGGCTTTATTTTTATTGTGTAAAACTGTTGAACACATGGCTGTGATGCACACATCCTTTACATGTAAGGAGTCTATGCATTTTGCAGTAACTTCTGTTACAATTGGGTAATGAAACAGTTATACATTGAACTGCCATTGTTGCTTTAAATGCTTTCATTTTTCTTTACAGTTATCACAAAATTGTATTTATTTTATAGAGATCAATTATGTTTTCCTGATGCCATAATGTTTACCTGGGCATGGTGACCTTCCTTTGTGTGTCTGCATGTTGTAATGTATGGTAAGAATGAATGTAAAGGCTGTGGCAACTGTAATTTTTGTAAAGGGCTGGTCACACGTGGATCTGGTTTATGAATGCACTGGGATTATTTTAGTAACCAGATCACCTTTTCAGAAATTGAGATGTGAACACCAAAAGAAGCATTTTCTCAACAAAAAATTAATAGCTGGTTCTATTTTTTTTAACCTAGAAAAAAATAAAGTTGATTTTTTTCAAGTAAAGTGCTTTTAATTCTTAGTAGCGGGGATGGGGTGTTTGTGTTTTACTGGAGATATTTTGGCATTGATATCTGTAGATATGTACTTAGAACACGCCATGGCAGTTGGATGCCGAGGGCAAACTGAAAAACCAAATGAATAAACATTGTTCTTCCTCCTTTGGTATTAAACTATTCTCCACTCCCCCTTCCTTATTCTCCTCCTCTAGTGGTACACTGGTCAACATTTCCGCTGTCCTGGAAAAAAAAAATTATGTATACAGGCATACATAAGTTTGTTATAAATTTTGCTGATAGCAAGGATGTATAACAATTAACAGATGGTAATAAAATATACTCTATTATAAATTCCATATAGCCAATTGATTCTCCCAGAATGCTTTATCTGATTTTTGCTGAACTCTTATAGCCAATTTATGACTGCAATATAACCATGATTTGAAAACTGGAATTACATCCTAATCCAGAAATTTCCCAAATTTATTGTCATTCAATCTGATATGTGATCTACTGTTAAACTATTTGTTAGCCTTGTACAAATTATACTCATTAAAGTGAACCACTTTTAGCTTCAGCACCAATTGTAAACATATAATTTTAATAACAGTTGTTTAACAACTACTGGCAAAATTCGAAAACTTAAACAGTCAGCTCTCTTGAGCTAGTAGGAGTTGTCTCCAGCATACCACTGCCCTGTTTTGTTTTTTGGGTTTTTTAACTGTTGGTGTTGAATAAACTTTTCACAATTAATCACTCCCTGCTCTCAGGAAATTCCTCTCGCTGACCCGGCAAGAGGCTTTAAAGGGTGAGAAAGCATTAACATCAGTCCTACAGAGCATGCTTTTGATTTGAAGAATTTGACGAAAGTCAAGTTTTCCTGGAGTGCACGGAAAGCTTGCATATTTCTAAAGTTGGCTCTGTGCTTTCATTTCTTACAGTAAACTGACACAGGCATCTCTAAGATTTTGTTTTGAGCATTTCAAACATGTATTGTTTCGGTATTTGTAGACTGTGTGATCCCACTGAAGATTTTTAAATGCATTAAAATATCTTACACAATCTACCAAATAAGTTAAACAGTTACAGTTCAGTCTACCTCTTCTGTTTTCTACCTGGGTTTAGGCCGCTGTTTTTGGTGAGGTTATACATTTTTCCCCCTAAAAGTGGTTTCTGTAGAAGATGAAGAACAAACGGGGGCAGGGCCTGAAAGCCAATTTGAAGCACTCGGAGATCTGTTGCTGACCAGCCCTATTCCTCATAAGTTGGGGAGAATTAAAAAAAAAAAAAAAAGCCATTGTTTATAATTTCCACTTAATATGAAAATGTTTGTTTTAAAAATGTTTCCTCCTGCTGAAAAAAATAATGTATTTTTAAAGGGAAAAAAATTCCTTTTTTGGCTATAAGAAAAAGTCAGCTGTATGAGCAGGTGTGACCATATCATAACATGCTGATATGATATAAATCAATAAATTTTTACCTCTCAGGACTTGGATAACCTTTTTCTTAACTCTTAAAGGCTTGAGAAACATTAAGTATCAATCATCCAGATACAAATGGAACATTGGGAGGAGGGTTAGCTAACCACTGAAATGAGACAGGCTTCTTTCATAATCAGAATACTCTGAATTAGGCATGATTAAATCATTTTACAAAGGAAGAAATTAGAATAATGTTTTTTGCTAGAAAGCATGAGCCTATCCCTCCCTGAGTTTTCTCCTGCAGAGTTTCTGTTGCCTCATCTTGGAATACTATCTGCTTTTTAGGTGTGTGACCCACTCTAGAGATGGTGGTCAAGTTCTCACCTCAGGCAAGAGAGAACGTGAGCCATCCTTGTGACTAGAGCAGCTGTCTTACTGGTGTCTTTTGGGGGAAGGAGAGGAGGCTGGGATACCTCCCTTAAAAAATCAATTGCTTCATCTTCATTCCTTTGTTTCAATTTTGATGGAAAAAAAACTCCCTGAAAAGGGTCTTATCTTCAGATTTTTACCAGTTAACTAACACTGGATCAGGACCAGCTGATGGATACTTGAGGGAAAAGAAAATCGGTACCTGGCAGTGGAGAAATCAGAGGAACCTGGAGCGCTAGGCAGAGCAGCCCAGGGATGTTGGAATGGCGAAGGCTGCTGTGTACACACAGGCACACAGGCCCTGACACGCGGACCCGGGGAAGTATTCCAACATGGTAGTCCTAAGAAAATCAGCTTCCATGGGAGCTCTGTCCTGAGACTGCCATCCCTGAGGGCTCAACTGTAGAGGCTTCCATTAGGCATCATTGACTGGCAAAAAATAACTCTCCAAATAATCCACAAAAGAAACGGTTTATTCGAAAAAAGGAAGAAGAAACGAAAAACCAACGCAGCGTGAGAAAGCACATCTCTGGCACCAGCCCCAAACGGCCGCCCACGTGCAGCAGAAGACCCCTGTTCTGAGATGTCTTAATCCCTTTATTATGATCCCTCCCCCAGAAATTACCATAAGGATAAACAGGAGTCAAGATTATAGAGTAAACAAGGGACCCAGCTCCACCCATAATCCTCCCAACTCTATGGTTAAGCATCTTAAGATGCCAGTTCACTTTATCAGCATCTCCAGGTGCTAAACAAAGGAACAATTCAAAATATGGGTGACGAGCCTGTTTTAATTTTTTTTTTTTTTTTTAAGCTGAGCCACCCTGCCACCCGTTGGCAGATCAGCTTGGGCCAGGAATAATCGAACCGCTGACCCTGTTGCTCAGAGCTCACACTCTTGAGCCAGCTCTTAACCAACTGAGCCACTTGGCCGGCCCTCAAGGAGCCTCTTTTAATCAAGGCATCTAGAGCCCACAATAGGCCTTTCTGTCTTTCCCTGGTATGTACACATTTCAATAAGTACAAAGGATGTCTTTGGAAACGAGGTCTCTGGGCCTGCATTGGATGTATCGAACTCTGGTATATTTAGTGCGGGACAATGAGAGCAACCACAGCTCAGGGATCCCCAAAAGCACAAAAGTAGAAGCAACCAAGACTTATTTTATTGCAGACCCAGGACTGGCACAGTGTCCCTTTGGTTAAAGTGAGTCACAGGGCCAGTCCAGGTTCGATGTGGGAGGGTCTGCAAAAAGTGTGAATACTGGGAGGCAGGGCTCATTGGCATCCCCTCTGTGAAGACCAGCTATCACAGTAAAAAATTGCTCAGCTATTTGAATAGTGAACACTAGATAGGTCTAGAAGAGTTATTGCACTTTGCCAGGTTTGCCCATAATTTCAGTAGTTGGAGATTTTTTGAGTTTCCAAATACTTTTTAAGAGGATTAGATCTGTTGATCCATCACTCATTCATAGAAGTCACATTAATCAAAGGAACACCTACCTAAAAGAATGGAGGTTTTGTTTGAGCGTAATCTTTATATTATTTTTGGTACTGATTAATGCATAACTCATTGGCCCTTAGAATTTCAGAGCTAGTAGGAACTTGAGCTTGTTTTGAGATGGCAGATTTCATTCTGGTGCAGTTTTGGTCCATAGCTGATAGCATCAAATGATTTAAACAGAACTGCAAGGACTAGAACCAAGTCTCTTGATTTCCATTCAAATGTTTTCCCCAAAACAGCAGATTGCTTCTGTTTGGGTTTCTGTATTTAGTCAACAATAGTTAAACCGAGAGGATTAAGTACACTTGTTAAAGGGGTGATAGAGCCAAAATTTCTATAATTTCCTCTTCCTCGATTTTAAACATAATGGTTCCCAAACACTAGAAGGTTATTTTTTTAAGTGTTCCTCTCAGCTATTGCAGAGATACAATTGATGTACGATATCTGATATTTCTGATTGTGTGCACTGGGATAGTGGCCTTGTGGAACCGAAGAATGGAGCCACGAACCAGACAGGTAAGTTTTGCAGCAAAGGATAGTTTATTAAAGCAGAAAGTAACAGCTCTTAAAGTGAGAGGGGGTACCCGAAACTGGGATGCCCCCTAGCTAAAGCAAAGGCTTTTGCTTGTATACTTCTTGTATACCTGGGAAGAAGAGCTGGCTGGCGCCTATTGGTACTGTTATCAGATTCACTCTGTTGCTCAGCCTGGAGGGGGCTTTTGCAATAGCCCATTTGTCCCAGAACATAATTGGGCTGAGGTGCGTTATCTCAGGGCCTATGCTTTGAAGATATGCATTCTACCTGGGGATTCCTGACCGCCTATAATTTTTTCTATCTCACAATTAGCTACTAATCTGAAATCTATGTTTTTTATTTTGGGGGGTATAAAAATGAAATGTGTTTTTTGTTTGTTTATTGGGCATTTATTTTTGCTCTGCATAGTAGAAGATAAAGAGATTGCCTTCATTTCAGATTAAAGGGGATAACAATTTCAATCTCATAAGAGTTCCTTTCATTTATGAATCCTATGTATGAAATTGGCAGCAGGTAATAAATTCAGGGCCATGACTACTTCTAGTGCCCAATGTCCCTCCATCATGGGGGCTGCTGGCTTGTCCAAGTAGGAGCTGGCAGACGGGCAGCAGAACCCAGGACTCAGCCCATGGGCTTGAATTCCAACCCCTTTGACAAGTGTCATCCTCTCAACCTCACTCTGATCATGTGTGAAATGGGAAACTTGCAGAGCTTTTTTTCAGTATTAAGAGATTGTGTGCGTGTGTGTGTGTGTGTGTGTGTGTGTGTGTGTGTGTGTGAACACTCATCATACTGAAGGCTCAGTAAGGGGGACTATTTTATCCTAACCCAATAGGGTTTAACAGAGGATGTAAATCATTCCCACACCTAGCTGTGCCTAAGGTCCAAATAACCCGTTCGGTTCCCTAAGAATTGTTTTATCATGTAGGCTATAATGCCCACCATCCCATTTTCTGGAGCCGTAGGTCTTTTGTATTTCTAAGGTAAACTGAAATGGAATCAGTATAGCCAGGCTCCTAACCTCGCCTCACCTAGTCAGACTATGTCTAATTATCTAAGGCTCCAGACAGCAGCAAGAAAAAGCTTTGAGGTCAGAGAGCCAATTAGGAAGGTGAGGAGAC